GGTTGCAACCCACAGGTTGAGAACTTCTGGGCTAGAGAGGCGGCTTAGTGGGTAAGAGCACGGGCTGCTCTTCTTGGGGATCCCGGTTTGATTCCCATCACACACAAAGGTTCCTCCCAACCATCTGTAACTCCAGTCCTAGGAGGTCTAATGCTTTTTTCAGGGCTTCAAGGTACCTGTGGGTGGCTTTGAACTCACAAAGATCCTCTACCTCTGCCTCCTGAGTGCTCGGATTAAAGGCGTGGGCCACCACTGCTGGCCCTGGTTCCCCCCCCCCCCCAGGGTTTCTCTAGCTTTGCACCTTTCCTGGAACTCACTTTGGAGACCAGGCTGGCCTCGAACTCACAGAGATCCGCCTGGCTCTACCTCCCGAGTGCTGGAATTAAATGCATACGCCACCACCGCTCAGCAATAATTTAATTTTATTTTATGTGCACTGGTGTGAGGGTATCAGATTTCCTGGTACTGAGTTACAGACAGGTAGGAGCTGCCATGTGGGTGCTGGGAATTGAACCTGGGTCCTCTGGAACAGCAGCCAGTGCTCTTAACCACTTAGCCATCTCTCCAGCCCCCCCTTTTTTATATTGAAATATATAGCCCAAAGGATACATGGTATGTATACATAGATCATAGGTTGACTAAACAGCCACCTATGAATCTAACACTGAAGACCATGATCATGACCAGTGCTTTAAATGTTTGTTCCCTGCCTTCTGCGGGGTAACCACTGAATTTGCTCCATAATCTTTTGCTTTTCTTTATATTTTTTCTTTTTTTCTCTATATTTTTCACACAGATTCCAAAACAATAAATTTTTCTACTTAGCTCCTTTCATAATTTAACAGAAACGCATTTATTCTATAATTTATTATGTTTCTAAGCATAATTTATTATGCTTTGTCCATGTAGTATATAGTTCATTCATTTGAAACATGCATGGCATAAAATGTACCACAATTTATCTACCTGTTCAAGGGTATTAGTATTCGTTATAGACTTTTAGTTTGATCAATATTGCTAAGAACATCCTGGATCTTTAGGGTTTTTTTTGGAGCCCATGGGTAAGAATTGTTTCTCTGCACTTTGCATAGCCTTGGTGCAGGGAGGAGGGGCTTGAACCTGCCTCAACTGAATGTACCAGCTGACTCCCCATGGAAGACCTTGCCTTGGAGGAGGTGGGAATGGGGAGTGGGTTAGGGGGAAGGCTGGGGGACAGGAGGAGGGAGGACAGGGGAATCTGTGGTTGGTATGTAAAATGAATAGAAAAATCTCTTAATAATAGTAAAAAATAAAAAATAAATTTAGCAGCAAGGATCTGCCAGATTCCTGAACAGAAGCCATAGAGAAAAGACACTGTACCTCTCTAAGTTCTAATAAAGGAAGTATGGTTTCTCAAAAAAAAAAAAAAAGAAAGAAAGAAAAAAGAAAATTTGTTTCTCTGGTACATATACCTGGGAATAAAATTATGGGGTCTAATTACTTTCCAGAGTTGGTGGATCAATTTATGCCCCCCAGCCCCCACCAGTGTTCCTGTCTCAACACATACTCCTGAAGTCTTGATACTTTGGGTATCTCTGCTGGTGACCAAAGGGAAGCTCTCATCTTTCTCATCCAGAGCCATGCCCTTTTAAATGCCCCAGTGAATCTCCAGAGGTGACCTTCTCTACCCCTGCAGCCCTAACTGATCACTCTGAGCACCAGGGAGGGGAGAAAATGTCAGTCATGGCGGTCTTTTCATGTGTCCATCAGAACCACAGGATCCTCCTGCGCACCTGTTTCTTGTGCTCCACCCCAAACCGTTGCCTCTACTCTCTGTGGTCCACACGGCAAGACCAGTGACATCAGATGGACCTCTATCAGAATCTGACAGGGTTCTGCAGACAAGTACTGACTCAGACTCTCCGGGCGCTGTGCTTTCTGCATAATGAGTTCCCCAGGTGACAGGCACGTTCCAATTGGGGAGCTGCTGCTCTGGGGACTGCTAGAACAGAGGTGAGGCCAAGGTCATCTCCAGGCAGCTTCAGCCACCCTCCCAACAGCTCTTCCAAGAAGGATGCGGCATCTTCCATTCTCCTCGGCTCTTTCCCCTGCTTCTACTGCCTCTCACAGGGTAGAAGAGGGACTGAGAAGAGCTGCCTGCCAATCGGGGCCTAGCCAGCTACAGAGTGGAATAGTCTTCCAATGGAATACTATTTTTCTTTGTAAAAAAAAAAAAAAAGAAAAATAATTTTAGGGCCTGGAGAGATTCAGTAGTTAAGAGCACTGGCTGCTTTTCTAGAGGACCCAGGTTCAATTTTCAGCACCCAAATGGCAGTTCACAACTGTCTCTAACGCCAGTTCCAAGAGGATCCCACACCCTCTTTTGGCCTCCATGGACATTGCATGCATGTGGTGCACAGACAAACGCAAGCAAAACACCATGCATACAAAAATAATAAAGTGCTCAACATATTTTTTAAAAAGTTATCTTACAGCCCGTCGTGGTGGTTTAACCCTGAGGCCAGCCTGCTCTACAAAGCAACTTCCAGGACTGTCAGGGCTACACAGAGAAACCCTGTCTTCTGCTCTACAAAGCAACTTCCAGGACTGTCAGGGCTACACAGAGAAACCCTGTCTTCAACTCCCTGCCCACCAAAAAACCCCCACAAATACAAAAAACAAAAAGTTATTATTTGTTTTCATTTTATGTGTATAGGTGTTTTGGTTGCATGTTTTTCTTTTCTTTCTTTCTTTCTTTTTTTTTTTTTTTGAGACAGAGTTTCTCTGTGTAACAGTCCTGGCCACTGCCTGGCTGACTGCATGTATTTCTGTGTGCCTGTGGAGGAGCCAGAGACATTGAATCCCCTGGAACTGGAGTTACAGATCTTGTGAGCTGCCCTACGGGTGCTGGGAATTGAACTTGGGTCCTCTGGAAGAGCAGACAGCATTCTTAACTGCTGAGCCACCTCTCCAGCTCTGCTTTTCTAAAAGATGTATTTTATTTTTAATTTTGTCTATGTGGTTCTGTGTTCTGGGACATGCATGAGTGTAGTGCCTGAAGAGGCAAGAAGAAGGTGTCAGGTACCCTGGAACTGGAGTTAGAGGCTGTTGTGAGCTACCTACCCACATTGTCTCCCTATTTGTTTAAGGCAAAGTCTCTCTTTGAGCTTGAGGGTCATGTTTTTTTAACTAGGCTGGAAGCCAGCAAGCCCCAGGTATCCCTTGCTTGTTATGTGGATGGTAGGGTCCAAGTTCTGGACTTTTTGATTGTGCACCAAGTGTTAAGTGGCAAGCCATCTCTCCAGGCCACATTTTATAGCTGTGACATGATATGTGATATATATATATATGTTAGTGTACACAGGCTTTTTGAACAGGGTCTCATGTAGATCGGGCTGGCCTTGAACTTGGTATGTATAACAGGATGAACTCATTTTCCAGCTTCAATATCCCAAAGGCTGGATTTACAGGCCTAGGACACCATACTCAGGGTTAGGGATAAACGAAGAATTGAGGGTGGGACAATTGAGGGGGCTATTTACAAAGCTAATAGAAAATTAAGTAGCCAAGGTCAAAGTGGTCTAGTTGGTTATGATCTCAGTTTGATTCTGCAAGGGGGCTCAAAGTCCTTATTGCTTGAGGGAAGCAATTGGGCTCCTTTAAGACAATTATTCCTGCTGCAGCATACAGCTTTTTTTTTTTTTTTTTTTTTTTTTTTTTTGGTTTTCCAAGACAGGGTTTCTCTGTGTAGCTTTGCACCTTTCCTGGAACTCACTCTGTAGCCCAGCCTGGCCTCGAACTCACAGAGATCCTCCTGGCTCTGCCTCCCAGTGCTGGGATTAAAGGCATGCGCCACAACCGACCGGCTAAAAAGGGAAAGGGGAGGTGGGCAGTGAACTCGTGGCCTCAGGCACAGTAGACTAGTTTTCTGCCTTGCAGCCACGCGCATACAGCTTTATCTATGCAGATTATTGCCCCTAGCGTGTGTAGATGAGGGAGTCTTGTCCTTTGAGGCCTAGCACTACTTCATAAGAAAAGTATTTATTGATCAGTCCTGCTGTTCCAGGAATGCAATACAAAACTGACGATTTATGTCAGCTGAAGCACCTTTTGGGCAGTCTGGAACAGAACATTGTAAAAGTTGACAATTAAATGCCTAAAGGTGATAGATAACAAAATGAAGACAAGATGCCAGGATTTTATCCCTTTACTGAGTCCAAAGAGGATCCAGTGCTTTTTAGCCAAAGCAGTTCCCTTTTAAAAAAAGGGTTTATTTTTATGTGTTTGCTTGCATGTTTGTGCACCACATACAGGCCTCATGCCTCCAGAGGGCACTAGGGACTTGAGTTGTAACTGGTTTTGAGTCACTATGAGGGTGGTGGGAATCGAACCTGGGTCTTTTGTTAGAGCAGCCAGTGTTCTTAACTGCAGGGCCATCTCCCCGCCCCCGCCCCACAGCTGTTTCTAAGTGTCAGTTGTTATTATTATGATTTTGCCCATCTCACAGGTGTATCTGTAACTACTCAATGTGTGTCATCACACAGACTTACCGTACAATAAGTATTAATTGCACCAAACCCAAGATTCTCCTTTTCTAGCCCTCCTTTTCCCCGCCCAAGCCCAGAGAGTATGATTTAGTAAGCCTGGAGCGAGATGAAGAAAACTACTTATTAAAAAAAGTTTCCAGTTAGCTGGGATCACACCTGTAATCCCAGCACTGAGTCAGGAAGGCCATGGCAGCAGGATGGTCCCGAGTTCGTGGCCATTCGGATTCCACAGCCAGCCTGGACAACAGTCGAGCTCCGTCTTAACCAAAGCTCAACGAGAAGCAACCAAACAACAACAAAAAAAGGGCCGAGCTGTCCGGCAGACTGGAGAGCACGCCTTCCCGATGGGTCACCGAAAAGGACTCGGCTTATGACCACGCCCCCACGTTCCGGTGAAACCGCGCACCATACCCCGGGTATCGCGACAGTTCCTCTTTCCTTCGGCCTAGACCCTAGGTCTCGCGAGAGTGGCTTGTCCAATCACGGCGCGGAGTGGCTTCACAAGATGGCGGCGCGCTGAGAGCGTAGCATCTGCGTTTCTAGGCGCTGGGCTGTGTGCGTGGGTTAGGACCCGGGGCTTGTGCAGGCCCCAGCCACACACGCCGTCAGGCTGCTACCTTGGCCTACGAGGTACGTGGTTGGCACATCCCTTATCCGGTTGTGCTCATGAGTCGCTTAAGCAGCGGCTCACCGGCTTTTATCCTCTGGTTCTCGGCTCCTCTGGGGACCCGGGGCGGGTGTGTGAGGGCGGTAGGGTGGGTAGGTGGGAGGAGTTGAAGGAGAGACCCCCCCAACCACCCCCCGAGCCTAGGCTGATGTTTAGAGAGCCCTGAAACCCAGGCGGGAAGAAGGCGTGGGTGAGCCAGAGAAGTGGCAGGACTCGAGGTAAAAATAATCAAATTTGTAACGGGGGGGCATGGGTAGAGAACGAAGGTGTCGTGGTCGTGGTGGGAGGCATCTATTGAGTTTGTTGTTCTTTTTAAAAACACGTTTTCATTTGTTTTTTACTTTATATGAATGGGTGTTTTGCCTGCACGTACGCCCGCACCATGTGCACAGTGCCGACAGAGGCCAGAAGAGGATGATTCCATGGGACTGAGTTACACATGGTCGCGAGCTGCCATGTGGGTGCTGAGAATCGAACCCAGGCCCTTTGGAAGAGCAAACAGTACTCTTAGCCATTGATCCATCTGTACAGCCCTCCCAGAGTTTGAAGTTCTAAAAGCCAAATTTAGACTATCCTATAGGCTATTCACTAGAAGAAATGGTATCTGAAGAGGTAAAAGTCAAGGGGAACCAAGAAGCATGGAGTGTTAAGGATGAAGAGGGCTACCTTCAAGGTCTTTGGTTTTTGGACTCACTCAGATGAGCCTTTTTTTGTTGTTGAGACTCAACTGCCCATTCAGAAAGAGAATGTTACATTTCAGTGGCCCATACAGTGGAAAGTATTTCATAGTCATTTGCTTCATGGTGTTGATGACTGAACCTAGTGCCTTGCATGTGCTAGGCAAATGGTCTTTCACTTTGAGCTACATCTCTAGGCGACTTCATATTCTTCCCAGTCAACAAATAGTACAGAACCTATTCTTACAGATCCTGGTCGTCGTCTGTCCCCCGAATCACCCCCGGCCCCCAGACAGAGTTTCTCTGTAGCTTTGGTGCCTGTCCTGGATCTCGCTCTGTAGACCAGGCTGGCCTCGAACTCACAGAGATCCTCCTATCTCTGCCTCCTGAGTGCTGGGATTAAAGGTGTGCGCCACCATTGCCACCGGGCTCAGATCCTCTTTGAAGCACTTGAGGTACCTCAGTGAACAAAGTTTTTCCTCATGGAGTTTACTTGTAGGGAAAAATTTAAAAACTAAAGCAAACATTTATGAATGTCACGTGAGTCAACTCAAAAAACAGGAGTTAGGAAGGTGATAGTGTGTGCTCAAGTCACTGGATGTTTTAGTAAGGTGCTCAGGAAAGATATTAATGAGGTGACATTTGACCAAAGACCTCACAAGGTGGGGATATGTTCAGTGTATGTACATTTCAGTGGGGAGAGCAAACCATGGCAGGTGAATAGCAGCAAGTGCAAGTTCAGTCTGATGATGCACTCTGGAATCACAGCGCTTAGGAGGCTAAGGAATTATGACTAGCCGTGGGTATATAGTGAGTTCCTAGCCAGCCTGAGCTACTGGAGACCTTGTCTAAGAGCAACAAAGACAGTAAAGACAAATACAAATGGATAGCTCTAAGGCATGAGTGTGCCTGGCTTGTTCGGAAGTGGCTACTAGTTCAGTGTGGCAGGAGCAGAGTAAACTGGGTGAGAAGTGATAATACCAGTGCTAGGTAAGAGCTGATAGCCAGTTGACTTTGAGGAGTGGTATAGCTAGCTAGCTAGAAATCCAGAAGTTAGTTTATCTGGGGTGTAGCAGCTCCTCGGTAGAGCTTGTGTGAGACACTGGGTTAAATTCCTAGTGAAAAAAAATTTTTCTCCAAAAGTTAATGAAAGGAGTGACTTTATTGACTGCATCTGTTATGACCTAGTAAATTGTGTAGACAGTGACCTGCACATATGTTCAGAGTACACACCTGTCGACCATGCCCTCTTTAATGGGTTACAGAGTCCTGTGTATCACTGTCTCTTGACCTTGTTAGAGGAGTGCCTTTCTTTTTGTTGCTCTACGGAATTACATGAAAAAAAATTTCCCTTTGATGTTCTTGGGCCCTGGGGCCTATCCTCAGTTTATGCTCCTTTTTACCAGATCTGTAAGAGGCATGTGAATGCTAGGGAGTAAAAACTGCTTTATAGTGTTTCCACCTTTTGTGGAGACTGAACCTGGGACCTTGAGTGTGTTGGGCAAGTGCTCTAATGATGAGCTGTATCCCCTTAGTGGGGGAGGAAACAGGTTTATTGAGGGACCTGCATGTGGCAGCAAATTGGACTTAAGAGCACTGCTTCCTTGCCTTACTATTTGTGTGTTTGTTTGTTTTAGAGGCAGGGTCTCACACTGTAGCCCAGGCTGGTCTCAAGCTTACTGTGATCCTCCTGCCTCTGCCTTACAAGTACTGGTATTGTAGACATGTGTGTACTCCTGTCCCACCAATGCTTTTGAAACTAAATATCTTTCTCACATCCCTTCTTCCCTCTCTCTTTAAAGATGGCTTTAAGCAAATCAATGCATGCAAGAAATAGATACAAGGACAAGCCACCTGACTTCGCATATCTGGCATCCAAATATCCAGATTTTAAGCAGCATATTCAGATAAATCTGAATGGGAGAGTAAGGTAGGTAACACATGAAAAGTTATTAATATGCATCACTCTAATGTGATCTGAGTGGACTTGATGTGATAGGAAGCAAGCTAGACTAACAGAAGACCTGAGTGTTAACCATGTGCATTTCGTGGAATGTCTTATATGACCTTGGACAAACCCAATTATCCATCCTGGGGGTCAAGTTTTTAGATCTATCAAGTCTGGAAAGTCTCTTAGTGGCCAACTTACTGCTTCTACAACAGAGATGCCAAAGTAACTGAGACTAGGATTGTACTCTGTGTGATCAGTGCTCAGTGAATGGCAAAATGTCTTGTTATGTGCACACCTTTAATCTCAGCACTTGGTAGGTAGAGGCAAGCGTGGTCTACAGAGCTAGTTCTAGGACAGCTAAGGCTACACAGAGAAACCCTGTCTTGAAAAACCAAAACCAACCAACCAAACAAACAAATAAACAAAGTGTTAGTTTTGATGTGAAGTAGGAAAGTAAACTAGAATGTTAAAGCTTGCTTCAGGGATATAGCTTAGTTGTTACAGAATTGACCTGGCATTCATGAAACCCTGGGTTCTATCTCTAAAGTGTGGTGGAGCACACATCTGTGATGCCAGTACTTGGGAAGTGGAGGCAGGAAGATCAATTTAAGGACATCCTTGGCTACATAATGATCTTGAGGCTATTTGAGACTATCTGAAAAACAAAGAAGGGCAGAGATTACGACAATGGTATGAGAATGTGAGAACGTAAGTGTTTTATACCCGAGGTGACATGCACAGTAAGACCAGGCCAGGCTAGTCAGCAAGTAATCTTAGCCACCGAGCTGTCTCTCCAGCCACCCCCACCCCAACACTGTTCTTAAGGCTTTTATTTCATAGTTTTATATATTAGTCAACTTTCCATTACTTTAGCAAATAGAAACCAATGTAGGAAGAGGAGAGGTTGATATTGCCTTGTAGTTTTGGAGATTTTACTCTAAGATAAGGTGACTTTGTTGCTGAGGCAGTACAACGTAACTAGATGTGCCTAAGAAGCAGTTCACCACTTAGCCACTGGGAAATGAGAAGAGAAGGGACAGGATCTCATAGCCCATTTGGAGGCATGCCTTTAATGACTTAATACCTTCCCACTCTCCACCTTGTGAAGGTTCCAACACTTCCCAATTGTGCCAAGCTGGGGACTAAACTTTTGTTTGATCTGAGTTTGAGACTAACCTGGTCTTCAGAATTCGTTCCTGGGCAGCCCAGGTCTATACAAGCTTTGGATGTCTTAGAACTGACTATGTAGACCAGGCTGGCCTGCCACCATACCTAGTCTGCAAAATTAGTTTCTTTTTAATTTTATTTATGGTTAAGACCACTTATTGCTTTTTTGTGGGGTGGGCGTGGGGGGGAGCGGGTGTTGAGACAGTGAGACAGGGTTTCTCTATGTAGCTTTGGAGCCCTTCCTGGAACTCACTGTAGCCCAGGCTGGTCTTGAACTCACAGAGATTCGCCAACACCGCTGGGCCAACACTTACTGCTTTTATAGAGGACTTGGAGTTTGGTTCCCAGCACCCACTTGGTAACTCACAATAGTCTCTAATTCCAATTCCAGATGATCTGATGCCTCTTTCTGGTCTCTGAGGGCAGTATACATATGTGGTACACAGTCATGCATGCATGGCAAAATGCATACACAAAAAATAATTTTTTACAAATAAAAGTTTTTAATTACATTTATTTATTCATTTGTGTGTGTGTCTGTATGAATGTACCACAGCATATGTGGAGATCAGAGGAGAACTTGTGGGAGTCTTGTCCTTCCAGCAGGTGAAGTCTGCAGTTCAAATTCAAACTGTCAGGCTTGGCAGCAACTGCCTTTGTACTCTGAGCCTTCTTGCTGGCCCTTCAAAGTGTATATTTTATAATAGATATAAGGAATTCCCCCCCTGGCAATGGGCAAAGAGACATCTTGTTGTTGGTGGTGTTCTTATATCAGTTAGGGGCAGAGCAGATAGATGACAGTCTATTGTTCATCCTAGCTTCATGCCTGGCTTGGTGGCCAAAGCTGTTTCATGTAGGACACATTTAAAAAAAAAGAATTAAAAATATTTTGCCTCACAAATGTGCCTATAAAAAAGAAGACATGGGGCTGGAGAGATGGCTCAGGGGTTAAGAGCACTCGCTGCTCTTCCAGAGGACCTGGGTTCCATTCCCAGCACCTACATGGCAGCTTACAACCATCTGTAACTCCAGTTCCACGGAATCTGGGACTCTCACACAGATATACATGCAGGGAAAAATAAAAAATAAACAAATCACTAGAAAAAAAAGACATGGCCATCATTAATATTTTCCTTAATTTTATTTATATATGACCGTGTGTTTGTGTGCTGTGGTACATATGTGGAGGTCAGAGAACAGTTTTCAGGAGTCGGTCTTCTCACTGTGGCATCCAGGGGTTGGATTCAGATCCCCAGGCCTGTGTGGCTGCTGCTTTTACCCTATCTCTGGTGTTGGGGAGCTCAGGCTAGGGCAGTTTTCTTTAAAGTTGAGAGTAGTGTGTGTGTGTGTGTGTGTGTGTGTGTGTGTGTGTATGATGTGAGCGTGTGCAGAAGTATGCTGTTGCGTGGACTTTGTTTTGTTTTTGTTTTTTTGAGACAGGATTTCTCGTTTTGGTGCCTGTCCTGGATCTTGCCCTGTAGACCAGGCTGGCCTTGAACTCACAGAGATCTGCCTGGCTCTGCCTCCTGAGTGCTGGGATTAAAGGCGTGCGCCACTACTGCCCGGCTCTTTTTTTTTTTTTTTTTAAAGGAGAGTGGATGGAAACATACTTGAAAACAAGACTGGCCGTGTCATATCCTGTTTTTTTTTTAATGTCTACTAACTTTTTATTTATTTATTTATTTTACTTGTTTTGGGGGGCCGTTTTGAGATAGGGTTTCTCTGTGTGTAGTCCTGGCTGTTCTGGATCTCACTCTGTAGACCAGGCTGGCTTCAAACTCACAGAGATCTGCTTGCCTCTGCCTCCTGGGTGCTGGGACTAAAGGCGTGCGCCACCACCACCTGGCCCTACTAACTTTTTAAATTTTTGTTTATTTTTAATTTTATGTTATGTGTATGCCTGCATGTGTCTAAACTGTGTGTTCCTGGTGCTGGTGGAGGCCAGAACAGGGCTCAGAACTGGAGTTACAGATGGTTGTGAACTGCCATGGGGTTGCTGGGAATCAAACCCAGGTCCTCTGGAAAAGCAGAGCTATTGAGCCATCTCTTCAGCCCTCCAGAGGACAGCTTTTGAGAGTTGGTTCTCTACTTCCATCATTGCTTGTGGAGGATTGAACTGAGGTCATCAGGCTTGTGTGACAAATGCTTTTTATTGTTTTGTTTTTCGAGACAGGGTTTCTCCTTGTAGCTTTGGTGCCTGTCCTGTGTCTCGCTCTGTAGACCAGGCTGTCCTCAAACTCACAGAGATCCACCTGGCTCTGCGTCTCGAGTGCTGGGATTAAAGGCGTGGACCACCACTGCTCAGCTGTGACAAACGCTTTTATCTGCTATCTTGCTGGACAGTATATTTATTTTTACAGGAAAAAGAACACAATTTATGGTGGCTGGAGAGATGGCTCAGTGGTTAAAAGCACTGACTGCTTTCCCAGAGGACCTGGGTTCAATTCCCAGCACCCACATGACAGCTCACAGCTGTCTGTAACTCTAATTCCAGGGGATCTGACACCCTCACATAGACATACATGCAGGCAAAAACACTAACACACATAAAAATAAAAACTTTAAAAAAAGAACACAATTTATTATGCTTCATTCATGCACTATCAGACTACAGTATGGCATATGCAGAAGGGATTTGTTATATATAGGTATAGGAGATGGGAGATCTGTTCTCCTGTGTCAGAGACCTAGCTGCTTCTAGCAGGACTGCTTTCCTGCCTGATTAGGTCAGAGGTCAGGATTCCCTGTATTGATAAAATGTTCCTTTCCTTTTTTCATGATTCTATTTACCTTTTTTCATGATTCTGTCTGTCTGTCTATTTAGGTCTTTTGGGACAGGGTTTCTTTGCTTAGCCCTGGCTGTTCTGGGACTAGCTCTGTAGAGCAGACTGGCCTTGGACCACAGAGATCTACCTACCTTTGCCTCCTTGTTTGCACCACCATCCCATGATTTGATTTTTAGTTGTGTGTGTGTGTATCTGTGGGTTTGTGTACATGAATACGTTGCCTGAGGGGGCCAGAAGAGGATGTCAGATTTCCTGGAGCTGGAGTTACAGGTGATTGTTAACCAACCTGTACAGGTGCTGGGACTAAACTCAGGTCCTGGAAGAGCAATGCACACTCTTGTCTTTCCACTCCCCAGATTTATGTTTGCTTGCTTGCTCTCTGTCTCTTTGGAGACAGGGTCTTGCTGTGTAGCCCAATCTGACCTTGAACTGTTTTTCCTTCCTTAGACTCCTGAGTTTTCTTTCTTTCTTTCTTTCTTT